TTTTTTTTTTAATGTGGGTCAAATATGGCTCATGAAAGATGTGTCTTAGTTGAGGTTGAATTAAGGCTGATATCAGGAACCTGTTCTGGCCCAGCGTCGGGCCGGAGTAGGGTCGGATATGGTTATACAATGCGGCTCAGATCCGGGCCGAATGCGGCCCGGATCATGGATGCCAGACCCGGGCCACTGCAGGACCGTCATTCATTGCGGTATGTGGGCCGAGTGTCGTGCCGTGTCCGCGCCGGAGCCGGGCCAGACCAATTTTGCTGACTGGGCAGCCTGCCATGCATGTTTTTGGAATGTGGGAGGAAACCGGAGTTAGCAAAATACTCCTGTAGCTCTTTGTACACATTTCCTAAGATTTAATAATCACCGTTGATGATGGTTATGATGCAGTTTACTAAAGATGTTGAGTTTTTGTTATTTTGGTCAATAATAATTGATTGTGAACTGCTCCAAGTGTTGCATACAGCACAGTTGTGTGTTGTTACAATGCATTTTGGGATTAATATTTTAAAAAACACATTCAGTTGATTACTGTAGTTTGCCGCTTCCTTAGTGTAATGATGTTCCCATACCAAAGGGGACAGTAATGCACCAGAACGGCTCGACTCCGTCCTTTCTGCAGGAAATAGAAAGTAGGCCACTCAGGAAATGCAGGAAGCGAGACGGCGAAATGAAGTCCGTAATATTGCCATGGACATTGCGTCAACTGTACATTTAGGTCGTGTACCGATTAAACATAACCGACTCTTCGTGTCGCTAAAGCTTCACCTGCTAGCTCAGCCCGCTCGCTGCTCACAAAGAGACGCGGAAGTTAGCCTCATATACCCAAGCGGAGATCCAGTGTGTGCCTCCCGTGTTGGGATTGATTGAGTGATTACTGTCAGTCTGTTTGGAAAGAATGATAGCGGAGTACGAGGAGGAAATTTGTCGATCAAGAGAAGAAAACGAGCGGCAACGTCAATTACTGGACGCTCTTTTAAAGCATCAAGATGAAAAGCACAGAGCAGGTTTGTTCATCTCGTTCTCTCACAGTTGTTTTAATTTTCAACCCTTCTGGGTCCAGGGATTTCTTACAAGAGAGATTTCGCCCTCCCTCACTCAGAAAAGAAAAGACCTCCTAATAACCATAGCGCCAATTATCGTATGACAGATTTTTAATCCACGTGCAGCACTTTGTATGCAGCAAGGGTTGTTGTGAAGTGCTTTATAAATTAAGTTGAGTCGAATTGAGTAGTCATGCATGGCTACAATGTGTCCACAAATGCCATGGAGATGAAAAGCTGACGAAATGTTATGAAAACAAAACAACTTTTTGGGAGAAAAAAGTGGTGACGTTTGTGCAAATACATGTTTAATCAGAATACGATGTCAGTTTTTTGGCTCTCAAAATAATTGCAATAATATTGTCGTATCTTTTAAAAAAGTGCATACTAACTCATTACGCTTCACGATCATAATATTTTAACTCGTCATAGCAGAATTTGATTTTTCCAAACCACATGCATTGTCTTCAGAGTCCCCTTACATTAAAGAAGAAGAACACGAACACAGCATCGGTCAGGAAGAAGAGCAGTTTCGAGAGCTGGAGGACGGTGATGTCACCAAGCAGCCCTTTAACTGTGTCATTGTGAAGAGTGAAGATGACGACGGGGATGGAGACCACTGTGGAGGATCACAAGCAGACAACTTCTTAACTCCACTATCAAACAGTGACAACACGTCACCCTCTCCTGACACGGATGATGACGAACACTGTAAAGGTGATGCGACAAGTCACAGTGACTGCAAGGGTTTGGCATGCCTTCAATGTGACAAAACGTTTAGCAACAATGCAAATCTGAGAAGACACATGATGATTCACACGGGAGAAAAACCTTTCATGTGTTCAGTTTGTGGGAAAAGATTCTCTCAGAAGACTTCGATGATAACACACACAAGAACACACACTGGAGAAAAACCTTTTTCCTGCTCGGTGTGCCACAAATGCTTTAGTGACTATTCCACTTTGACGAAACACATGAGAACACACACGGGTGAGAAACCCTTTTCATGCTCAATCTGCGGTAAAACATTTTCTCAGAAGGCAACTATGAGAACGCACACGAGAACACACACTGGCGAAAAAGCATTTTTCTGCACCTTTTGCAATACAAGTTTTAATGTTCGTTCAACATTGGTCCAACACATGAGAACCCACACTGGTGAGAAACCCTTTACCTGCTCAGTGTGCACCAAAAGTTTTGGTCATCCTGCAGCGCTGGCGAGGCACATGAGAACACATACTGGGGAGAAAGTGTTCAATTGCAGTGTGTGTGATCAAAGGTTCTCGTACAAGTACCAAGTGAACAAACACAAGTGTGTTGGCAGAGAACAGCAGTAGTGAAGGAAGCTGCAGAACTTTAAATAAAGTGAATATTGACTTTCACTTGTAGCAAACACTGTTTATGACCAATTCAAATGAGATGCACTGCTGGATTTGCGGTGTACAGTATTTGTAACTTATTATGGCACCTTTCAGGGAACCTATGGATGCTACTCATTCGTGCTTAAAATATCAGTCCATGATTATTGTCAAATGAACAGTTTGAATAAAACATTATCAAACATATCCAGTCTTCATATTCTAATTAAGGGCAATATTTGTGTCTTCTTAGACAACAGAAACACATGCTTCAGTATTTTAAACAAACTAGAATTGCCCTCATTCATACACTATTAAAGAACACACTGTGGTGCAAAAGCAGCAAACATACTCACAAAAGTACAGACTGAAATAATGAAAAGGTATCTTTACTGTTATTTATATGCGATACCCATTTTGGTAACTTGGCAACTGAATGCTTGATTAACTAATGTGCTCTGCAATCGGCTGGCAACCCACCTCTTGCTCAAAGACAGCTGGGATAGGCTCCAGCACACCTGCGACCAGAGTGCAGATAAGTGGGATGGAAAATGAATGAATGAATAGCTAATACAGTGATGCTCAAAGTGTAGTTCATGGGTTCCCTGCAGGGATATGTGAAAGAATCATTGAAATGTTGGAATTGCATGATGGCAAACAGTAGTGGCTTAATTTTATTCATCCAGCCATCGATTATTCAAATCCTTTTGTCCTCACGAAGGTTGCAGGCGTGCTGGGTCCTAACTCAGTAGACTTCGGGCATCGGCGTGGTATTTTCCACTGTTTGCCAGTCAATCACAGGGCACACAAAGACAAACAACCGTTCACACCCACAGTAACACCAAGGGAAAATTTAGAGTGTGCCATTAACCCAGCCACGCATATTTTTGGAATGTGGGACAAAACCGTAGCACTCAGAAAGAATAAATTGCTGGCACAGGGAAAACATGCAAACTCCCACACAGGAAGGCAGGAGAGCAGATTTGAACCCTGGAACAATGCACTGTGAGGCGGACGTGCTCACCAGTCTACCACAACGCCGCCCTTCTTAACTTTTTTTTTTTTTTTTTTTTTTTTCAGTAATGTACCTGACTGCATTTGTAAGTACAATACATTTGCATTTAATCATTTAGAAATATTGGTTCCCAAACATTTCCTCGGTAATTGTTTAAATGTTACATTTATATGCAGTAAATACTCGCATTAATAATATCGTTATTTCAGTACAATTTCAGTAAAGCGTAGTGTTCATGTTTAACCTATACATAGTGTTACATAGGGGAGCAAAAAAATTAATATACTTTTTAGGAATAAAACCATTACCTGAAAACCTTCTAAAGTACGGGGTTGTGTTTGTGTCCGTGAGAGGCTAAAGAGTGTAATGACACCGCCTCACCAGGGGAGGTAGTAATATATTCGACTCAAACAACTGCGTCTTGTCTGCCGGAAGTAAATCCAAAGCAAAGTTAGCAAGATGTTGTTTAGCGTTTGGCGTGTAGTCCTGGTTGCATTGAATAATGTTGTGTGCTGATTACTCGACACGCATCGGCAATTTTGATTCATTTTTTCAGCAAGTGACCGGAGTGCCCTTTTCTTTTGGATAAACTCGTCACGGTGGACTTCGAAGTTTCTATTGCTTGCTAAGCTCGTTAGCTGCTAACAAAGAGACATCAAGTGAGTGTAACGTTTGAAAATGTCTGTAAACAGTGTGAAAGAAGAGTACGAAGAGGACCTTTCTCGAACAAAGGAGGAGAACGAATGTCAACGACTGGACGCTATATTGAAGACACGTCAAGTTGTGCTACACAGAGCAGGTTAGTTCAGTGTTTATCAACCATTATTAATCGAAGACACATATTTCACATAGGGAAAAAAATTGACGGCACACTAACACCCAGTGTGTCGTATTGTGGCCCCAGACACACTAGACTAAACTTTTCCAAAGTGAAGATGCACCCGTTTTATGCCAATCGCACGGGCACCTGGCAACCAAAATAGGGCCCTCAGAATGAATAGCAAATGTGGGCGTTCCGTCAGTACCTAGGGAAGGTCCGTCAGTCCGTCACTGATGGACCCCAGTTTTCCTAGCGAACGATGAATGACAAACTTTTATACATGGAAGCACTTTGTCCACCGAATCGTCAGTAACCCCTGTGGTGGGAAGTGTGTCAGTAGATAAGTCCAATTTATTTATATAACCCTTAATTGCAGAAAAGTGTCAAAGGCTTCACATTATACAAATGTTAAAGACATCCGCTGATGTTGAGTGAAAACAAAAACAAAACAAAAACATCAGGGGGAAAAAATGACAAACCTTGTCAAGGGGCCGTAGCGTGCATCCTTCATACATGCATTAGAGTCAAAACTACCCATTACAAAGAGACCCATCTTTGTTTGACGACAAATTTTTCACATTTACTCTCGGTTATGTGTGTTGATTTTGGAGCCAAAATATTAAC